GGGGGCCCCTTCATCGCATTCCCTAGGGGGCCCCCCTTCAGGGGGAATTAAAGTGGTGGGGGGCCCCACATCACCCTTGCAAGGGGGCCCCCCAGATGTAAGACCGAAAGATCTTTCGGGGGCCCCCTTCAGACATTTTTCTGTCGTAGGGGGGCCCCCAGGGGCCCCAGAAGGGGGCCCCTCAGGGGTACTAACAAGCGGGCTCCCAGGGGCCCCAGCAGGGGGCCCCCCAGGGGCCCCCGTATAGAATTGTATTCCCTGTAGAGCAGAGGTGGGTAAGGCGAGACGACAGGGAGAGTCTAGAGGGCAGCAGCAAACCAGAGGGGCCCCCAGAGAAGCAGCGGGGGGCCCCTCAGGGGCCCCATTAGTATGAAGAGATGCTGTATATTTTTTTAGCAAAGAGAAGGGTGTGTTTGTAGCAGAGGGGACAGAAGGAGAGGAGGGGCCCTTGTCTCCTTGGACAGCAGAGGGCATCTCTCTGCTGCTGCCGGTGCTGTGCTGCTGCTGTTGTTGTTGTTGCTATTGCTGCTGCAGCTGCAGCGGGTGCTGCTGCTGCAGCTAATGTTGCTGCACCTACAGATCCTACAGCTGGTGTTGTTGTTGCTGCTGCTGCTGCATTTGCTGTTGTCGCACATGCAGCTACTCGCCTGACTCCTTCTCCTTCTCCTTCTGTTGCTGCAGCTGCTGCTGCAGCTGCTGCTCCCTTTGCTGCTGCTGGTGCTGCTGCTGCTGTTGCTGCTAGCTAAACTAACCTTAAAAGCAGCAAAAACTAGCTCTCTGTCATTACAATGTAATACAGAAGCAGCAAAATAACTGTGGGGCTGAACCCTCTATACGGTGGGGGCCCCCAACTGGCTATGGGGGGCCCCCTAAGGGCCCCGGGGGGCCCCTTGGGGGCCCCCAGGTGGGGCCCCCGTACCCTCTTCTGGGGGGTCTAGGGGGCCCCCTTAAATATATATATATATATATATATATATATAAGAATTTGTTTTGTTGTTTATTTGTTTCTGTCTTTGTCTCTGTCTTTGTCTTTGTTTGTTCGCCTCTCTTTGTTTTATTTATTATTTATTATTATTTATTTATCATTGTTAATTTATTATTTATTTATTATTTATTATTTATTATTATTTATTATTATTTATTTATTACTTTTGATTTATTTTTTATGTTTGTTTTATTCTATGTGCGACGTGCGTTGCTACCAAACCCTAAACCCTCTTTAAACCCTAAACCCTCTTTAAACCCTAAACCCTCTTTAAACCCTAAACCCTCGGCATTGGAGGGCGCAGCAGTTACCCCAGCAGCACAGACAAGCACCTTCTGCTGTCTCCTTCAGATTGTTAAGGAGACACACGAGGAGACAGCTCAGCAGCATCTTCCTAGCTGCTGCAGCTAGCTACAGCTACCTACAGCTACCTACAGCTAGCTACAGCTAGCTACAGCTAGCTACAGCTAGCTACAGCTAGATATAGCTAGCTACAAATAGCTCCAGCTAGCCACAACTAACTACAGCTAGGTACAGCTAGCTGCAGATAGCTACAGATAGCTACAGCTAGATACAGCTAGCTACAGCTATCCACATCTATTAGCAGCTAGCTGCGACTAAGAAGGCCCCGGAGACAGCAGTGAGACAGCAGCGGTTCTTTGCTGCCCTTCGAGGGCCCGTGAGGTGTATGTACACCTCAACGCAGCAATTGCTGTTGATGTTGCTGCTGCAGAGACAGAGAAAAAGAGATAGGTCCTCTTAATGCAGCGCGGCGTCTCCTTTGTCTCCTTCACTTCAACACAAACTTTGCTGCTACTGTTGCTGCTACTGCTGGTGTTGCTGCTGTTGCTGCTACTGCTGCTGCGGCTGCCCTTGCTGCTACTGTTGCTGCTACAGCTGTTGCGTTGCTCTTCTTGCTGCTGTTGCTGCTGTTGCTGCTGCTGCTGTTGTTCAGGCGTCTCTCTTCTTTTTCTGTCTCTACGAAATGTCTCTCTTTGTTTTTTCTTTTGTTTGTTTTTATGTCTCTATCTGCATTTGCACGCAGCTCCCTGTACACCGCAGCTGCTGCTTATAAACCCTCTCTATACACCTCAGCAACAGCTGCTTGCAGCAGCAGAGTTAAACAGTTAGCAGCAACAGAAGGGACCCACTGTACACCCCAATTCAACCCCTTCTTTAATAGGTCTGCTGCTGCTGCTGCTGCTTCTGCTGCTGCTTCTGTTGTTGTTGTTTCTGCTGCTGCTTCTGCTGCTGCTTGGGTTTTTGTCGTTGTTGCTGCTGCTGTTTTTGCTGCTGCTTGTGCTCCTCCAGTTGCGTTTGCTGCTGCTGCTGTTGCTGCTGCTGCTGCTGCATCTGTTGGGTTGGGGGGGGTTTGTGGGTTGACAGCCTATGAATAAAAATAATAAAAAAGAAGACAGACGAAGAAGAGACAATAATAAAATAAAGAAGAAGAGACAATAAAAGGGTAGACAAAGAAAATAAATAAAGAAGAGGAGACAGAAGAATAATAAGAGAGACAATGAAAGAGAGAGAGAGAGACAACAGATAAACAGCAACAAGAAGAAGAAGCAGAAAGACATACAAATAAAAATAAATAAACAAAGACAAAAGGAGACAGATGAATATAAAAAGAAAATAAATAAACAAAGACAAAAGGAGACAGAAACAAAGAAACAAAGACAAGAGGAGATAGAAATAAATAAGCAAAGACAAAGAGAGACAGAAACAAATAAACAAAGACAAAAGGAGACAGAAACAAATAAACAAAGACAAAAGGAGACAGATGCACCTCGAGACAGGTGAGGCGGATGGGTTGACAGTATTTAATAAGCGGAGAAGCAAACTGCAGACTGTCTTCGCGCTGCAGCACGAAAGGAGACCTTTCTTTTCTCTGTGCTGCTGCTGCTGCTGCTGCTGCTGCTATTGCAGTTTGATGCTGCTTGTGCTGCAGCAACAGCTGGTGCTGCTGCTGCAGTCGCTGGCGCATGCTTGGGGTGTATGTGCAGCTCTCTGGAAAGAGACAGCAAAAGGAGACTGTCTCCTCCTGTATGAGGTCTTCTAGTAAATCAAGAGTCTCCTTTCTGCTGCAGATAGAATTCAGCAGCAGCAAACATATCTCCATGCATACAGATTGTGCTGCACCCCTTAACAAACAGAGAGGCAGCAAGCTACCTTCAGGGGGCCCCTGCAACCCCACTGGGGGGCCCCCACCCTCATCACAACACCAAGTAGGGGCCCCTCTTCTATGTGCTTCTTCTGGGGTCTCCTCAGCAATAAACCCTTCACCAAACCCTCTATGCTGGGGGCCCCTAAGGGGGCCCCTCTGAGGCTCTTGCTGGGGGCCCCCTTCATTACCTTTTTGGGGGCCCCCATCAGGGCCTTGCTCGAGGCCCTTCTGAGGGTCTTCTTCCTGGGGGCCCCCATCAAACCCTTGCTGGGGACCCCCCTGGGGGCCCCCATGAGGCTCTTGCTGGGGGCCCCCCTGGGGGCCCCCCTGAGGGTCTTGCTGGGGGCCCCCCTGAGGGTCTTGCTGGGGGTCCACCTGAGGGTCTTGCTGGGGGCCCCCATGGGGGCCCCCCTGAGAATGTTGCTGGGGGCCCCCCTGGGGGCCCCCCTTGAGGGTTTGTTGAGGGTTTTGTTGGGGTGGTTTATTGTGTTTGTTGTTAGGAGTGTAATTAAGGAGAAGAGAGGAGACTGTTTGCTTGTTTGTGCTTTGTTTTTGCTGTTTATTAATCTGGGGTTTGTCTATGTGAGGCCTCTGAATAAAGGGTAAAGGCTGCGGGTCTCTATGTGTTGTTTGTACTGTCTCCTCAAGCTGCGCAGACACCTCAGCCTCAATTAATAAAAATAAGGGGCCCCCCACATCATATACACCTGAACTAGGGGAACAGCTGCTCTCAACACCCTTCTTAGAGGGGCCCCTGGGGGCCCCCTTGGGGGCCCCCTTTGGGGGCCCCTTGGGGGGCCCCCTAGGGGCTGCAGAGGGGCCCCCCGGCGATAGAGAGAGGCTGGGGACTTGTTTAAGAGTTTCAGGGGATATCTATAGAAAGAACAAACAAAGAGAAAGGAGATTATCTATATATATATATATAAGTTTAGGTATAAGCATAAACATAAATATAAATATAAATATAAATACTATAATATATAAATGCATGTATATACATATATATATATATATATATATCAGGGGAGAGAATCAGAGACAAGAGCGAATAAAGAAGAAGAAAGGAGACAAAAAATGCAGGAGCAAACGCAGCAACAAACAAACAGAAAGAGACAAAAAGAGCAGCAGCAGCACCAGCTGCAGCAGCAGCTGCTGCTGCTGCAGCAGCTGTTTTGTCGATGCTGCTGAGGTGTACGTACACCCCAATATTAATAAACCCCAAACCCTCACCTGAGCTCCAGTTAAAGGCCTTCTGCTCCCTTGAGGAGAAATTAAAGAAGAAGCAACACCCCCGCTACCCACGCGCTGCTGCTGCTGCTGCTGCTTCTGCTGCTGCTTGTGCTGCTGTTTGTGCTGCTGCCTCTGCTGCTGCTTCTCGAGGCTGCGATCTGCCGTTGGTGCTGCTACGTCCCCAGGCGCTGCTGCTGCTGCTGCTGCTGCTGCTGCTGCTGGTAGTCCTGTTGGTGCTGCTTCTGCTGCTGCTGCTCCCGCTGCTCTTGCTGCTGAAGCTGCAGCACAAACAGCAGCAACCATTGAAAAGCCCCAACGCATTCCACTCAAAAGACGAAACCCTTTAGGGGCCCCCAAGGCTAAGGGGGCCCCTCGTAATGCTGAAGTTCATAGGGGGCCCCCTCACCTCCATCAAAGGCTTTAGGGGGCCCCTCCGGGGGCCCCTCGTAAAGCCCCTTGGAAGCCTCATTTTCTGCTGCATGCGGGCATTCAGGGGCCCCCTTTAGTGCTGCAAGGGGCCCCACAAACCCCCTCTCAGGGGGCCCCTCAGGGGCCTCACTAAGTACCCCTTTAGGGGGCCCTTCAGGGGGCCCCCTAGGGGGCCCGTCAGGGGCCCCATTATGTACCCCTCTAGGGGGCCCTTCAGGGGGCCCCCCTGGGGGCCCTACTAATACCCCCTCGGGGGGCCCCTCAGGGGGCCCCTCGGGGGGCCCTAATAGTACCGTCTGATGCTCTTGCTGCTGAAGCTGCAGCACAAACAGCAGCAACCATTGAAAAGCCCCAACGCACTCCACTCAAAAGACAAAACCCTTTAGGGGCCCCCAAAGCTAAGGGGGCCCCTCTTAATGCTGAAGTTCATAGGGGGCCCCCTCACCTCCATCAAAGGCTTTAGGGGGCTCCTCCGGGGGCCCCTCGTAGGGCCCCTTGGAGGCCTCATTTTCTGATGCATGCGGGCATTCAGGGGCCCCCTTTAGTGCTGCAAGGGGCCCCACAAACACCCCCTCAGGGGGCCCCTCAGGGGCCTCATTAAGTACCCCTTCAAGGGGCCCTTCAGGGGGCCCCCCAGGGGGCCCCTCAGGGGCCCCATTATGTACCCCTTTAGGGGGCCCTGCAGGGAGCCCCCCTGGGGGCCCTACTAATACCCCCTCAGGGGGCCCCTCGGGGGGCCCTAATAGTACCCACTGAGGGGGCCCCTGAGGGGCCCCCTCAGACTCAGGGGCCCCATAAGGGGGGCCCCCAGGGGGGCCCTCTGGGGGCCCCTGTATTGATGAAGACCCCCAGTGTATGTCGCACCGAATGAAGAGCTTGAGGTTGGCCTCTCTATCTGGGAGGTGTACAGACACCCAACAAAGAGACGCCTCCCCAGGGCTCAAGACACCTATTTCATAAACAAAAACCCTAAACCCTAAACCCTAAACCCTAAACACTAGGCATTAATCCGTCAGGCGCGAACCCTAAATCATCAACCCTAGAGCTGCATAACTCACTAGCATCCCGTTGCCCCCTAATAAACCCTAAACCCTAAACCCTAAACCCTAAACCCTAGAAGAGACACAAACCTCTTTGGGGGGAGACAGTAATTAGGATAGGAGACTGCTGAGAGGCCCAAGAAAAGGCGAGGGTTTTGCTGGGGTGTGAATTAACTACAGAAGTAAGACCCCGTACAGAAGACCTGAGGAGACAGCACAAAGAGACAGTAAAAAGGAGACAGTAAAAGGAGACAGTAGAAAGGAGACAGTAAAAAGGAGACAGAAGAATATAAAATATATTCTGTAATAATAATATTATAATAAGAAAGAAGAATATTTAAGAAGGGGCAGAAACAGAAGGAGACAAAAATATATAAAAGGAGACAGAAGAAAGAGACAGATAAACAGAGACAGAGACAGAGACAGAGACAGAGGCAGAGATAGAGACAGAGATAGAGATAGAGACTAAGAGATAGACAGAGACAGAGACAAAGACTAAGAGATAGAGAGAGACAGAGACAGAGACAGAGATAGAGACAGAGAGACAAAGAGACAGAGACA